TCGCTTGTAATCAATGAAAGAAAGTGATTTCTCCAGTGAAACCAATCTCAAAATCTTTACTCATGATATTGGCAAACTCGCGACAAATATTTTTATTACTCATAATAGAATATCCTCCACACATATCTATTTGATAATCATATAATATTTTTATTCTTAGAATAAATAAAGTGGTATCCATTTTCTTTTGGTAAAATTTAAACTAATCAAGAAAGAATTTAACCTCTCATAACATGCCATAGGCATTAATCATAGCCCATAAAGTGCCCTCTTTCATTTACATGATAATCAACATGAATATGATTCATTAACCCAAGGAGATTTTTACAAATATATCTTCCACAATTCAATTTAAAAAAACACTTTTAACTTCCATATGATAGAATTTTAATAACACTATCATTGTCAGGTTTCAAGTCTCGAATATAAAAAGTAGAGGGTTGTGTTAGGTAGTCGACAACCAACGTAAATTTTTTGTCGAAAAATCATGACATAAATCCTTTAAATCATTGTGTAAATGCTAGAGCCCTAAAAGCAATACACTATATAGCCTAAATACAGTGAAAAGTGTGCAAGCGTAGCTACACCGGCGTCTGGGTGTAGTGTCAAATAAGCAAGGGTTCTTACATTATGGAAAATTGTCGAAAAAAAAGAGTCCAAAAAACTAATATCAAGATAGGATTGTGGAATATAAGTACCCTCACAGGTAAATGTAATTAGTAGATAATGAGATGATAAGTATCTTATGTCTGCAAGAAACTAAACGAGCAGGGGAAAAGGCAAAGGTGATTGATATCTTAGATTTTAAACTTTGGTATTCAGACAAAAGTTGTACTCGAAATGGTGTATGTGTAATTATAGATAAGTTTGAAAGATAATGTTGTTAAAAATAATAGATAAAATTATAACTTTAAAGATTGTTGATAATAAAATTTTTAATGTTATAAGTGGTTATGCTCCTCGAATAGGTTTAGATATAAATTCAAAAAAAAATTTTAAAACGATCTAAAAGAATTAATACAAATGATACCACTTGAAGAAAAATTTTTTATTTGAGAATATTTGAATTGACATGTTGGTAGATTGGTAGAATATTTTAGAAATATTAATGGTACCTACAATTTTGGAGTGATCAATGAAGAAGATAAAATTATATTAGATTTTACTTTAACGTATGATTTTGTTACTGTTATTACTTTATTTAAGAAAAAAAGATGAGTATATTATTACTTATAAGAATGGATCTAATAAACAAAAATTGATTACTTTCTCATGAAAAAAAGATATCGTTGAGGATATAATGATTCTAAGGTCATTTCAAGTGAAAATTTAAGTACCCAATCTTGATTATTATTTTTGGATTTTAAGATGAGTTGTAAGAGGAAGAATACAATGAAACATTGATATAAAATTAGATTGGGGCATATAAAAAACACAAATAAAATTATTTTTATGAGTAAACTTCATGATTTTAAGGTTTGAGTGGTCTATGAAGAAGTTAATTTTATATGAGAAAAAGTAATGAGCACTATTAAACAAGTTGAAAAAAGATATACTATGAGAATCTAAAGAAAAAAATTTATAAATAAAAATAATTTGTGCTGGAATAATAATATACAAGAAAAGATAAAATATAATAAGTGTTATAAAAATTGGTTTAAATGTAAAAGCTTAGAGAACTGAGAAACTAAAAGGCGGCCCATAGGGAGTAAAAGAATAATTAGTGATGTTAATTCTGCTTTTAGTGATATTTATAATAGATTAGATAATAATGATGATAAAAATATATATGTATAAACTAGTCAAATAAAAAGAAAAAAGAATAAATAATTGATAAAGAGTATTAAAGATAAAAATAAAAAATTTTCTTGGAGAAACATAAACATAAGTGGGTTAGCAATTTTGATAAACTTTTCAATGAAGTTTTTGAAAATATGACCGACCTTAGAGATCATAATATCAGTAATAATAATAAAATGTTTATTTTTACCGTCGCATTCGTAAAAAGGAAGTTAATGAGGTTTTAAAGAAAAATAATGATGGAAAATTAGTAAAACCTGATGATATTCCAACAACAATAACAACAACAACAACAAAGCCTTAATCCCACTACGTGGGGTCGGCTACATGAATCATTTTTCTCCACTGCGTCCTATTTAGTGTCATATTTTCATTTAGTTCTAGTAAATTAAGATTATTTTTAATACAATAAGCTCAAATCTTCCTAGGTCTACCTCTGTCTTTCTTAACACAAGTCCAATCTAAAACATCTACTCTCCTAATCTGATCATCAGATGGTCGACGCTTAATGTGACCAAACCATCTAAGACGAATTTCTCTAATTTTGTCCGTCACAGAAGCTACACCAACCCTATCACGAATATATTCATTTCGCATTTTGTCTCTAAGTGTAAATCCACTCATCCACCTAATCATTCTCATCTCGACAACACTTAACTTGTTATTATGCTTCTCTTTTAAAGACCAACATTCAGCGTCATAGAGCATTGCAGGTCTCACCACCGTCTTATAAAATTTTCTTTTCAGTCTAAGCGGTACTTTTCTATCACACAAAAGGCCCAAAGCATTCCTCCACTTCAACCAACCAACTTGAATTATACTATTAACATCCCTATCTATATCACCATCGCTTTGAACAACGGACCCAAGATATCTAAATCGTTCACACTTTTAAATAAAACTCACACTCCTGTCACTAGAGCTATTACTACTAAAATTACATTCCCAAATTACATAGAGCTATTACTACTAAAATTACATTCCCTGTATTCAGTTTTAGTTCTACTTAAACGAAGGTCTTTAGACTCCAATGTAGACCTCCATAATTCAAGTTTTTCCTGGGCTTTTTCTCTAGTTTTATCCACGAGAAGGATATCATCAGCAAAAAGCAAAACAAAATGATTGGAATTGTTATCACTGATGATCATGCATGGACCTCAAGTAAAAATGTTAACATTGATGTATTTGAGCATGTAGATTCTGAGCACAAAGAGGACTCCAGTGAAGGAACCATTTGTAATGTAACTGACTATCTTGGATCCAGTCATTTGAAATGACAATCATCATTGCGGCTTACAAGTGGAAGTAAGAAAAAAGATGGTGTCATATACTAAAGAAATCTGATTTCACAACTCGTTACGACATGTACTAATATTCTATAGAGGTGTCAATCCAGAGCCGACTCGAAACTAACATGACCCAAACCTAACCTGTGTATTATACTAGTCAAAAATTACAACCAGAACCCGAATAGCTCTGCCCCGCCTTTAACCCACCAACCTAAACCCGATCTACGAAGCCTGTTTAACATAAGTAATAACAGCTATTTGGGTTTAAAGCGGGGGTCAATTTCGAGTCAATTTAGGTCAGTTTCAGGTTGGTGGATCAACTCGACCACAAATCAATCAGACCCTGACCCAAAAAATTAAATGGGTTAGAATATTTAACACAAGCCCGACCCAAAAATCTTTTGGGTCAACTTAAACACAGTTTTTGAGTTGTGTTCAGGTGGAATTGGTATGGGCCTATCATATCACTTACACCAACATCTACTACAGAAGGTTATGAAAATACTAGAAGAAACTGCAGAAATTTATGAAGATATATTTTTGTACTTTATTTAAATGAAACTGTTAAAAGATCTCACTTGTGCCTGAGCATAAGATTAATTACATATGTTTCTTTTATAATAAACTTGATGTACGAGTATAATGAGTGATATTTTGTTTCTTGTTATTTCATCGTTCTATTATGCTTCATGATTTTTTTAGATCAATGATGAATAACAATGTCAGGAAAAAAAAATTATTGCAAAAGTTATATACGTAATATATGAATACTATATTTTATATATTAAGCGTACTTCTTGCATGACTTCATCATATATCAAAGACAAATAGATTGGAGATTTACTTTTGAGTCACCCAGAGAGATTTCAAATGTTTCATATGAAACAAGAAGTTTTTCAAGATCTGTTGGAAAAACTACACCAAAATCATGGCTTCCATGACTCCTCTAAGATGACTTTAAGAGAGGTATTAACTATAACCCTCAATATTTTATCCATAATGAGTCAATTAGGGCACTCATGAAGCGATTCCAACACTCCTCAGAAATAATTAGTAGATATTTTTCAATTGTTTGGATGTTTTGATTAGTCTATCTTTCAAAATTTTTAGACCTAAAAATCCAACATTTCAAAGCATGACCAGAGAATTTTTGCATAATCCTCGGGAGTGCCATAAGTTAAGGTAAATTTCAGCATTCATATTTCCAATATGATTTATGTACACGACCAATCTAAGGATCTTAGTTCCATGATATACATATGGGATTGCATTTGAGCTATTGATGGAACACATATTGATGCGCGTGTACCGACAGATAGTTTACTCCTCGGGCTAGAAAATCCCGCTCAAGTTGGTTGAAGCCCGTAACTCCATGGTACCTCGAGGGAACCTTCGGTCGTCTCTGACATAAGAGTGAGTCATTTGAGCGTAAATTGTCGAATCTGCTTGGATGATCTTTGGCTAGCGTTAGCCAATCGTTCTTCTGATCGCCATGTCAATTTTCGATGGGCCCGCCTTTGCCACATCATCCCTTCCTGAGCCGTAGGATTACCTCGAGACTCATGCTGACACATTTATGTGTACAATAAATGATAAAGTTTAGAGTGTTATGTATGTAAATCCCCCTTTTAATTTTAAAAGCCACAAATGATTTCAGCGAATATAGGTTTTACATTAGGAGATGCAACTTATACGCCATCTGAAAAGTTGGATGTAAGATTCCTCTTGACTAATACCTAATATAATTAAAAGAACTCATATGAAAAAGTTCACATAATGAGTCGCTTGCAACAAACAAATACAACATAAACAATGCCTGCCTAAATAAACAATTCCCACCACATTTATATATTTGCATTTTATTATTCTAATCTACTAAAAAGCACATAAATTGCTGCAATTATCTCTTACCTCCAACAAGTTTGCAAGGCTCCACCGCACAATATTACGGACAATCCCTCCAGTAGTTAGACCTTTCAAATTTCTGAAAAATTTGCCCTACCTACACAATCACTGAATTATTTAGCCAAAAAAGTGGCCAGTAATACTGAGAGCCTCAAAACTGTCAGGATTCGCAATGGATCGAAAAACTTTGCCTGAAAGATGGGGAGACGGGCAGCGGCCTCGAAGAGGACGAGAACGTCGGCCGCAGAAGTATAACCAAGTCTCCAGGTGCCATCAAGGGTAGAAAGATTCACCTCGGAGCCCGCGCCGAACTTCTCCACACTCACCTATGGTCAATCAGCTACCATATTACTATCACTGAATTTTAAATAATCGTGTTAGAAGCTGGGAGATTGTGGTGTCAATTTACCAGCGCCTCTTCAATAGAGGAACGCTGTTCAGCGGTGGCTGAGATGCCGCGTTGTGTGTTCTGGACGGCTCTAAGGAGTTCATGCTTCCTACTCTCCAGCTCCGCGACCTAGAAAGATAACTGGGAGTAAGGTGGTTAAAAAGCGCAAAAAAGAAGAGTTGGAGACTAAACGGACGAATACATTGGCTGTGGAAGCAGCGGCCATGGCGGGAGTGGAGGCGGCCGCTGCGGTTGCCGAGATGACCGGATAGAGTACGCATGGTTTCTTCGAGGGCCACTTCGCGAAAGAATTGGACCTGGTTTTGTGAAAGGGATGAAAGTAAGTGTTTGCCGCGGACATTATATATATAATTTACAGCATAAATTAGTCTTCATGGGCCAATGCTATTTGTTGATGAGTCAGTCGTCTTCCATCTAGAAGATTTCTTAGTCAAAGTGGATCAATTTATCTTTTTTGTTGATTTCATTATGCTAGATATAGAGGAAGATAAAGAGATACCTATCATTTTGGGGACCTTTTTAAGCCACGAGAAGAGCAATGATAGATGTGCAGAAAGGGGAATCAACAATGCACGTTAATGATCAAACTGTTACTTTTAACATTTCAATATCAATGAAGTATCCTACAAAAGGTAAAGATGATGAATGTTATAGAATGAATTTTATCAGAAATCTGAGTGAATGTCATTTCAAAACTACTTATGAAGAAAAATCTGAAGAACAGGATTTTGAACACGAGCAAGAAGGGGAATTAGATAAATGTGAAGGTCTTTTTAAGGAAGATTCAAACTATGTTCGAGAAAGTTTTGAAATATTGGACATGATAGAAAAAGATAAATCATTTTGTACATCATTAATCTTTTTGTCCATCGATTGAATAACATCCTGAACTTGAGTTGAAGTTACTTCCTACTCATTTAAAATATGTCTTTTTTAGGTGATTCCTCTACTTTACCAGTTTTAATTTTCTCAAGGTTAACGATGGAAGAAGAAGAAAGCTTGATAAAAATTCTAAAAAAATTTAAGAAAGCCTTTGGATGGACAATAACTGATATTAAAGGAATCAGTCCTTCAATTTGTATGCGTAGAATTCATATGGAAGAGAACTGCAAACTCAGGGTTGATCCTCAAAGGAGATTGAATCTTGTTATGAAATAAGTTGTTAAGAAATAAATTTTAAAGTGGTTAAATGTTGGAATTATCTACCCTATTTCAAATAGTGCATGGGTTAGTCCAATTCACTGTGTTCCTAAGAAAGGGGGTAACTGTGACTGTGAATGAACATATTGAGTTAATACCTACTAGACAAGTTGCAGGGTGGTGAATATGCATTGATTATAAAAAACTAAATCTTGCTAATAGGAAAGATCATTTTCCATTACCATTTCTTGATCAAATGCTGGATAGACCGGTTGGGCATAAATACTTTTATTTTCTGGATGGATATACTGCTTACCACCAAATACAAATAACTCCTAAGGATCAATAGAAAACAATTTTTATCTCATTTGCTTTTAGAAGACTGCCCTTTGGTTTATGTAATGCCCCTGCTACATTTCAAAGATGTATGATGACAATTTTTTGTGATTTAATTGAAAGAGGAATTGAAGTATTTATGGATGATTTTTCAGTGTTTGGAATTTCATTTGATTCATATTTAGAACATTTATCAAAAGATCTTAAGTGCTGTGAAGAAACAAATTTAGTCCTTAATTGGGAAAAATGTCAATTTATGGTAGTAAAAGAAATTGTATTAGGTCATCAAATATCAGAAAATGGTATGGAAGTAGATCCTGCTAAAATTCAAGTGATCGCTAATTTACCTTATCCAACCAATGTAAGGGAAATTAGGAGTTTTTTAGGATATGATGGATTTTACAGATGATATATTAAAGACTTTTCAAAGATTATTAAGTCTTTATGTCATTTACTGGAGAAAGATGCAATTTTCAACTTTGATGAAGAATGCCTTGAAGTTTTTGAGTTATTAAAAGAAAAATTAGCCACTGCAGTAATTATAGTTTCACCAGATTGGGGAGAAATTTTTGAATTGATGTGTGATGCTAGTGATTATGCTATTGGAGTTGTTTTAGGACAAAGATAAGATAAAATTTTTAAAGTAATTTACTATGCTAGTAAAACTCTTAATGAAACTCAAATTAACTATACAACAACTGAAAAGAGTTATTAACAATAGTATATGCCTTTGATAAATTTTGATCATATTTAATTGGTACTCATTGTGTAGTGCATACAGATCATTTTGCTATTAAGTACTTAATGAAAAAGAAGTATGTTAAACCTAAACTTATAAGATGGATTCTTCTTTTGCAAGAATTTGACTTTGAAATAGCAGATAGAAAGGGATTTAAAAATCAAATTGCTGGTCATTTGTCCAGGCTTGAATCAGAAAAATCACTCTGTTTTGAAAAAGAAATTAATGAACATTTTCTAGATGAAAAATTGTTCAATATTAATGAGTGGCGTGTTCTGTGGTATGCCGACATTGTAAACCTTTTTGTTAGTGATATTATACCCTATAGAATGACATACCAACATAAAAAGAAATTTATTTCTGAAGCTAAGACTTAAAGGATATGATTATTCGAAGATGTGTACCATTAGAAGAAACTTATGAAATTATCCAAAAATGTCATAATTATGATTTTGGGGGACATTTTGGTGTTGATAAAGCAACATACAAAATTTTACAATCTAGATTCTATTGGCCTGCAATTTTTAGAGATGTTAATGAATGTATCAAAACTTATGATAGATGTCAACGAGTAGGCAATATTTCTAGAAGAAATGAGATGCCCCTCAATTATATGCTAGAAGTTGAAATATTTGATGTTTGGGGATTAGATTTCATGGGACCATTTATACCAATCTTTCGGAAATTTATATATTCTGTTAGCAGTGGACTATGTATCCAAATGGATAGAA